AAAAACGGATATGATAAAAAGCCTGCTAAGGGGTAGTCACTATTATCTAATCATATGAGCAATGGGTAAGTTACTAGACATGGATCAGGTACACCCAGTACCAGCGAAATATGAATATATATTGGTGAGTGTGGGTATCTTAACTCTCCACTTGAAACTACTCATTGAGTGGACTGTTTTTTCACGTCGTTTTCTTTATGTTTGACTCGAGGAGTGTTAACGTGATGTTCTATGTGTTCATGTTGAGGTAACTTGGCGTACTGAATATGTTTTATGCCATTATCAAATAAACATTTTATTCTCTTAAAACCCCCAAGTGTCTGAACCTGTCTTCATAAGATGTATTTGTGGTGTTTGAATGGACTAATGATATCTTTGTACTGGTTGAATACTTGATTTCGAATTCTAAATACAGTACATTCGTTGTGCCTGTGTCTTCTTAATTCAATTGCGTTAATCCTGGGATTCCTAATTCATACTATAATTCGAATACCATAGTATTCCTTAGCTCTATCATCCACTCAGCTTCTCGTCTCTGTACTTAGTCTAAGATAGTTACAACTCTTTTGGATAAAGGAAGCTCAATAACGTTGTGTACCTCAAGTTGGTGATGTGGGCACGTTATAAACTGTGTCACGAACAATTCTAGAATGGCTGCACCAAGTTTCCTCCTCTTCTCTAGGTAGTTTCAAAGCCAGGATAAAATTATCAGTGAAACCTGTCTTTGCAACCTTCTCTACAAGAAGTCTGTGCGGCACCGTGCCAAAAGCCTACGTGAAGTTGGCAAATATTAAATGGACCGATACCTTCAAGTTCGTGCAGATTAACTAACTGTCTTACGATATGAACTTCTAATGGCCGATTAAGCCGTTTAAGGAACCATGCTGCAGAGGTTGTTTTCTGTTTGCCGAAACTTAGGGAAGGAGTACTGAAGTCTCAAGTTCGTAGTATTTGATCAAACGACATAGCATGTTCTACCAGCATCTGGATCATTCGAACCTTTTTGGCTTTGGTACCTGAGAGGATAACTTACATATCCTTCCAGTCAAGTACTTTGTGTCAAGCTCATTGGAGTGAAACCAGAATGATTCTGCCATCTCCGTTAATTCTGTACTGTAAGACACTACAATTTTGAAGTGGGTTTTGATATATATCGCCACTCCTCCTGCTCTATGCACCCTGTGCCATGCCTTACAAGGTCTCTTGGTCGCCCATGACGTCAAGAGACAGCCATGTTTCCGCCAGGACTGTAATCTATAGTTCCAAATGAAAACACACGTTTCTGATCTCTCGTAGTTTACCTCATAGTCTCCTTACGTTGTTGTGCAGGGATTTTATGTTTTGTCCCACTACTTGGTGTTCCTCTATGATAGCATCTTTCTTCTGGTTTTTAAGCAGATTGTTGTTTAAAGTGAATTGTCCAGTTCTATGAAGACTGGCCTCTTCAGATGTTTACCTGTGTAGGGCCTCATATTAGCTGTAACGAGGTCTCTGTGTTGTGTGTGGTGGGTTGTTGAATAAGGTCAACTGACACTGAGGCGTGTTTTAGATGGCTTTTCTGTCGTCGTCTTGCCGATCTGCATCGGATCTCGCAAAATGTGGTATGAATGTAGAGGTCACTTCTCAAGTTATGCTACGAGAAAAAAAAATCCCAATTGGGTCTCTCGGCCTCTGGATTTCAAAGCTATCAGACGCTGAGGCTTAACAGTCGAATGAGGTAACCAACCAATGAGGTAATCGCTAATTTTCGCAGTGATGTCTTCCATAGAATCAATACCTATCAGCTCAGGTACTTTCTGCCTTCAAAGCGTGTCACATGACCTCCCAGAGGTTAGTCGTGTCCAACTCGTATTTGAGAAAACCGTTCAACTGATGGTCCGCTAGACACCAGTAAGATTGGTCCTGTAATTTGTGCTGCAACTAGCGTTACTCTTAACGGAGAGGATTCATCTTTCTCTACTTTTAGCCATTATACAGGCGGCACAGTGTTGCTTAGGTGGTACTCACTCCAAACACTGCACACTATTTGTTCCAATATTCTATATTAAAAGCTTCCCTCATCTCTAGGAAGCCACTCTCTCGCCCTAAAACGTTCAACAGAATCATGAAGTTTTGTCCAGCAACTTCTTACGCGATTTTTTGCGTTTTGTGAGATATGTTATCGCCATTTTCCGTTCTAACGTCTACTCACCAGTCATTGCTTTTAACAACAGCTGGTTTATATATAACAGCCGGTAATTTCGTTGTTGTGTGAGCTCGGGCTGTATCTCTCATAACCGTTACCTTGAACGAAAATAAAGGTGTTGAGATCATAACAAACCGCTATGCATCAGCTGCTATGAAAATTTGTAGTTCGTTTGAATGACTTCAACAATGTCTAGACCACTTGGCTAGATGGTTAAACTGTGAAGCTTTCACTATCCTTCAAACTGAAGTCATCTATTCGAATTTCTCCGTATATTTATGACTGCTTTTCTTGTCAATCTTAATTAGTTGTTATTTACTTTGTCATATCCTCGTCAAGATATTCACGTTGACAATCTCCCCCTTTGGTCAAATATTGGATCCGATATTTGTCCATGACTTTCCTAATTAGTTGAGAAATCGGATCGGTTTTGGTGTGTTTGTTGATTACTGATTAACCTGAGCTCCAAGCCTCGAAAAATCTCTGGTCCTATTCATATTCCTTCTGCCTGAAATCTTCATCTTTTTTAAAGCTAAACATGTCTACAATTATCCACGTGGATTGATATAAACGAAAATCCATGACGGCATTTGACAAGTAGATGATGTTCCTCCAGACAAGAAATAGAGGACAATGACTTAGTCCAGAATAATGCTTATTACAGATGGAGTTTATTTTTTAGGTGATATTTAACTTCTTCTCTTGTTTCATTTTATATTTCGGTTTCCGTGTGACTATTTGAAGAAATTTGTCACGGTTGCAGCTTAACAACCTATTCAAAACAGCCTCGATAATTTTGTTGTGATTTCCGATATGTTCGTTATTTATAATGGGACGATCCATTTGTTGGTTTCAACACTGGATCTCATTTTTATCAGTGAGTTTAACTGATATTTTTTGATAAGCTTCACCAGATAGCGAATTTCAAAACTGACCATTGAATCTTCTGAAATATGAAAATATAGCCAAAGTAAAATTATTACTTAATGTGATCAAATTTGTTACATTTTCTGTAACTCCGAAAATAAGATATTAATTAGGATATTCGATCCAGCCAACCATTTATAACATAATACTTTTAGTGTTAAGATGACACTTGTGTCAAGTTAATGTCATCTTTTTGATTGATACCTAAATAGACATCGTAAACTTATTTTTAAGATAAAGAATTAGTAATAATTAGAAGGACTTGACACACATGACATTGATCACCACCCAGTGATCGATCAATCGTGATTACACCTCAGTCCTACAGGAGGTCGACCGCGGACCGGATAGCTCAGTGGTAACGTCTCTGATTGTGAAGCTGGGTGACACAGGATCGAATCCATCAGGGAGCACCAGTTCCCTCAAGATTACAGCTACACCTTGGTGACGAGTACCAAAATAGCACGAAACCCGGGTCCATGGTTTCCTGTTGACTACCTCCAACCACTCCATCTTATCTCAACATAGTGCACGCAATCTCGAGTCACCTAGACTAAAGACCACATTGCAACTTGGTCGATAGCATTTGATCTACACTAAGAAGGACTTGACATACATGATATTGATCACCACCCAGTGATCAATCAATTGTGATTCAGTGGTGTTAATTTTATAATACCTTCCTCCAATGTGTATTTTAATAATTGTGTCTCTTATGTAAGAAGTGACCATTAAACGTCCTAACATTCATGTTCAATACAATAAATCAAATTTAGTTTCCAGAATCTTAATTTTATCCTATCATCATAATTATTGACATGTACACGAAATAAATACACTAGAATAATCAAAAGAAAAACAAACAAACAAACCAAATACATCAAACAAACAGAAGAAATTGAACAAAAACACTTACTGAAATCTTACAATACTCATTTAAAGTAATGGAGAGAAAAAATGATGGAACAGTTTGTTATTTAATCAATTCCATCCACCCCATAGATACATATTCGGTTAAACATTTAGAAAATCAATCCAAACATATGATTACATAAGATTATTAGTTAATCATTATCCTCATAATAAGAAACAAGGGGGGTAGGGCGATTTTTTAAAGAAAATGTTAATAAGAAATCAGCAGTAAATGTATAAAAATTATAATAGAAATGGATTAGACAAACAACCAACCAACCAAAAACGGGACATCTGAATTGATTCATGATAAAAACAAAACAAATAAACAGATAGAGAAGCAAACACAATGAGAAAACATAAGAAACAATAAACCGAGACTAGTATAACTTATATTGAGATCTTTATTTCATAATGAATAATATGTATTCTGTAGTAAGAATACTTTAAAGATCATATTATGAAGTATAGTTCATTTGAAATTAAACAGTTATACTGATACTTTAATAGTATACTTATATCACAACTCCTATTTCACATCAGTCTTGATGGTGTTTCGTCTTTTTTTTGTGTGTGTTGCTGTTCATTTTGCACAGTATTCACTTTGCGAGGTAGGAGTACAAGTAAAAAGTAAAGTTCAAAGAGAGAAACAGACAGACAGAGAGGAATCGGGAAATAAAATGATGAGAATGAATAGAAATTATTATAAAAAAAAGACACCAAAAAAACTGTACTGAACAATCACTAAAAAGAAGGAAACAAGATAGAAACTTTTCTTTTCAAATGTTAGTTGTAAATAATGTGTAATGAAATAATTATTGAGCATTGATTTATCAATAGTTGGCTTGAAACACAAAAAGCTCCGTACTTATCATTTTAGATGGATTGATTACTTGATTCGATCACGAAGATAATCATTGATTTAAAAAGAAAAGAAAAGAAAGAACAATAAACTATGATTATGTTAGAATATCTGTCATTCACATGGACTTATTACATTTTCATTAACTTCAACATTTGTAGGAACTGGAAGTAGTCGTTTATTGGGAATTGAAGACTATAACAAAAAAAATTAGTTTAAAAGAATTTTAATTCCATATTGATAATTTAACGAGAAATATGAACACTAAGAAATAATTTTAAAAAGATTTATCAGTATGGGATTGTGGAGATTATTATGTTTTGGATTGAGATCATGGATTGGTTGTAAACCTGAAAGCACTGAACGACCATTTTGTCCTATTGTTGAACTCTGTCAGTAGTGCGTATCCACGACCCCGTTCGCGGGATTCGAATCTAGGGCCTTCGGTTCCACACGTGAATGTTTAACCTCCTAAAAATTGAACCGGCATCCAGCCGTGTTCATGTCTAACTTCAATCAATCCATGAAATTGCGTGACAATCTTCAATTGTCTGAGGTAGATACCTGTCTCTACGTGACATGGATTAAGTCCACTGGTCACGGCATCTCACTAGAGTTCCGAGAATTCTCTCACGAAGCTAGTCACTAGTGAGCGCATGGTAATTATTAGTATGGGGTTGTGCAGATTATTAGGTTTTTAATTGAGATTTATGGTCGCGCAATTTTGTGAATTGGTTAATGTTAGACATCAACACCGTTGGATGCCTGCTCAATGGTCTAAAGGTTATGCGTTCACACGCGAGGCCGAAAGCCCTAGGTTCCAATCCCGTGAGCGGGATCGTGGATGCCTACCGCTGGGGAATCTCACAATTGGACTAAACGACCGTCCAGTGCTTACAGGTTTTCAATGGTGGTCTAATACCAACCGGTTCATGATCTCATTAAAAAGGTAATTTGTTCATCAAACAAATAAATTTTGAATAAAATTACAATACACGAAAATTGAATCGATCGAAAAAATCAGATTACTATGTAGGGTTTAAGCTTATGACTTAATCAAAAATTACTTCAATGAGATGAGTCGTATGATTTAGTTCAGTAGTTATTCATAGCTTAAAAAAAGTAGTCGTTTAGTTGTTGGCTACATTCTAAAGAACATAAATTCCAATTATTGGATCTATCGAGAAATGAAGATATATTTATCTATAACTGTTGTATTGATGAAGTATGCTCATCTGTCAATGGTAATCAATCTTTCTTGTACTTTGAAGTATTTTTTTAAATCTGAAAGAAATGTATTCTATGAAGATGGAAGATGTGAAAAAACTGTAATTGAATCTTTCAATCACTTAAAACCTCTTTTAGATTTTATAGTTAGCCGAACAAGTGTTGAGCGTTATAGGCTACATAGAAGAAAGTTCTCTGTTGTGTAAATTTTAAGGGTCCAAAGACAAGCATATGAACTACATTCTTGGTATTTGAATCAAATATTGACTAATGTTGATAATAATCATACGATCGAAAAAACAAATTGTAAACAAAACATTTTTTCTGGTTAGCGATGGAAATGAATAGGACATACATTACGCAAATCATCAAACTGCATTACGAGGAAAGCCCTAATTTGGAATCCTGAAGGGGAGCGGAAAAGAGGAAGGCCAAAGAACACATTACGTCGGGAAATAGAAGCAGATATGAAAAGAATGAATAACAACTGGAAAGAGCCGGAAAGGATTTCCCAGGAAAGGGCTAGATGGAGAGCGCTGGTGGGTGGCCTACGCTCCTCCACGAGGAGTAACAGGAGTAAGTAAGTAAGTCAACAAAGTATACTTAAAGACTTTATCAAATGTAAATTTTAATTATCAGATTTTGTCTTAATGTGACGTTGGTGCAATTGGTTATTGATGTTCAACGCTTCTATTGTTAAATATAAGTGAATCTCATATTGTTTATTAAGTTACTGGTTCACTTTTAGATTCACTCATACACGTGGATTTGTTAACTATTCACTCCAAACATCTAGGTTGGACTTAAGCCTATCAAAGACTGAACATTACGCAATTAATGACTTATCGTATTTTCCTCCTTCCTTATTTCTGAGGAATTATATATATATATACTTCCAGACCTAGCCCGTCAAATTCAGAATATTTTAATTAAACCTACCTAAATTCCATAAGTAAAACTTACGACTGTTTCAATCTTATCGCTTTCTTGTCTACTGGAATAAGTTGTAGATTTCAATGTACTGTCTTCATCTGTATTTGCTGTTGTAGTCGTAACCTGACTGCTTCGTCTGGGTGGTGGTGTAGGTGCATTATAACCAAATTCACTTGTTTGTGGGAAATCCAAACTGCTCAAACTTGTGTCTGACTTTGTTTCTCCTGTAATTTAATTTAGTAAATTAAGAGATTTAATAGGATTACCTTTAACTTGTGAAGTAAACATTGGTTCCGATGAATTATTACTTGATATTGTAGAACCTTTTACAGTGGCTGTTGATAGTCCCGACTTAGGTGTAGCAATTTTACTAACATGTGGTGATTTTGAACGAGAAAATCTTTCTGACATTCCACCAAGTCTACTTAATGGTGATGAATTCGATCGATCAGTTGGTGGTACTTTATTTTTACTCAATTCAGAATCATCTAATGTACAATTTAAACGGACCACTTCAGAACCATCATCTACAGTAACTGTTGTATTAAACATAACACCACGTGATCCACGACTACTTAAACGATTACGCTGTTTTGGAGAATTTGAATTAGGCAATGGATTAGAAGTAGAACTTTTAAGAATACTTGTTGGCATTATTGTTGATTGAACATTTTCTAATGTACTATCACTACTTTCATCCATCATTGAAGTAATTGCATCCGGATTAAAACCTTTAGATGATTGATGTATTTTAACCAATTCATTATTTGATGAATCTATTGTACTTGTAGTATTTGTAGAACTAATTGAATCATCTGAGTAAGCAGCTAATGGTGCACGTTTTTCATCTTTATTATCAATTGTAACAGTGGATGTAGTTATCATTGATGATGTTTTAAATTCTTTTTGTGGTATTGAACTTTTATCTGATTCTAAAACTGGTGGTATAATATTTTTATTTTGCGAAGATTTTTGTCCTTCAAGCGCTGTAAATACCATCATATTCGTGGGAAGATTATCATTTGAGAAAACTCGTCTTTTTTGAATAGCCAGTATTTCTTGCTTCTAAAATACAAAAATATTACATAGATTAATACCTAATACTGTAGAAAATTTCAGTAGATTCTTAGATGGAAAATATAATTTATTTAATAGTTAGATTATTATCAGAAGGGGTTGTGTGGAGATTTTAGAAATTTCAATAGTTGAAATCATGAGTCAATTGAAGCTAGGCCACCATGGAAAACCTGGAAGAACTGGACGGCCGTTCCTTCCGAGTATGGAACTCCTTAGGTCCTGGAAACAAATCTCGCAGGGGGGCGGGATCGTGGATGCTCACTGCTGAGGAGTCCCATACTAGGACGGAACGGCCGTTCACTGCTTCCAGGTTTTCTATGGTAGTCTAACTTCAAATGACTCATAATTTCAACTATTGAAGTTAGATTATTGTTAAGGAATATTCTATTTATATGAAACATGAAGAATGTAACAAGTTATGAATGCGAATAATGGTCAAATGTAACGTATCTAATTAAGCCCATATCAGAAGGAAAAAGGTCAGATGGAAAATGTTATATCCCGATGAGAATAATGAATGGTAACTGTTGGGGTCCATTTATAGATCAATACTATACGTATATTTTTATTATATAATTGTTAAATAACTAAACTATTCATATTTGTGTTCTTCTTATTCTAAGCTTTATTTTGACCTATGAACTATTATTATACCATTTACCATTCTTGAGTTATGTCCTGTCTATCAATTACTATCTCCCATATTCATAGCCACTTTTGGCTAAATCTTGTATAAATGTTACTTTCTATCTTATGGTACGATCTAGTCTGATTGTTTGGTATATAAACCCAGTATGTTTGAAATAAATGATTCATATCGCGGAGGCTGAGATTGGTGTTCTGGACTTAACAGGTAGGGCTAGACAGGAATCATGACCGAAAATGACTCTAGACTGCTCGTACAGGTTGTATGCATCATTGGTCCGGTTGATAATTCACAGTTCTCTAATTGGCGGTAGTATCATTACGTTATACATAATAGAATACAGGGCACAAGTTATAACAAAAACAACGATCCACTTTTCTCATAACATTCTATTTGTCTATCATCAAGTAAAACATGAATTTATCCATGTAATCCCAAATAAAACATTTGAGTTATACCTTATAACGTGGTGAGAATAATATAAGAATAAAACTAGTATAAAACTTTCAGAATTGTAGAAAAATATCTGTTAATGATTGTTTTAATGATATTTGTCATTTCATGCTTTAAATAGTGAAATTAATGTCAATCATTCGTCCAGGAGATTTTTATATCTCTCTTGCAATAGATAACTTTTACATTTATTGTTCCTTCAATGAAGATAAGAAAAATGAAAATCTCAATAAGACAATCATATAACTATTTTGGTTCAAAGTGTATCGATTAAATGTTTATTGTTAAGTCAGGTTGTTTAAAACATGGGATATATTTCTTGATAGAAATATATTCATTCCGATTGAATGGTCTAGGACAAATATCTAACTTTAAAAGAACTGTCAAATAAGTGTATAGTAAAGCTTAAAAGGTCCTTTGTATGTTTATTAAATGATGATCGATTTGTAAGTTCACTGTTGTTTTTTTACAACGAATTATTTTATACATAAACCTTAAACTTTCCAAGAATCACCATGAACATCAAATAAGTTTGAGTTTTTATACACAATATAGACGTTTACAATGATTTCGAGGCTAATAAAATGTAATGTTCTTAAAAATATCCAAAGGTATCGTAAAAATAGTTTTGAAGCACTGGACGACCGTTTCGTCCTATTATGGGACTCCTCAAAAGTGCGCATCCATCGATGACTTATGGTCTCAACTATTAAACTACTATAATATCCACAGAAACCCCTTTCTGAAATTAATAATAACCCAATAATAAAGACGTTTTAATAATATCTTGATTGAATAGTCTGTACACGGACGATAGCTTTCATTCCATAATATGTACTAAATCAGTTGACTAGGTACTTTAACTCCTGATGAATATTTAGTTGTGATTGAAGGCATAGATCAGTAAGTAAATTATTTATACTGACATCTTAATCGATTGTTCTATTATCAGTCACTTTAGGATTTATCGATCAATACTGTTACCAAAACACATTTGATATGAATTGACACCAATCAAATTTTAGAACATTCTGTTTCTACAACTATTTAGCGTCAGATATAGTATATCACGATGTCAAGTTATTTAGTCTACTGACCACAGTGCAACTTGCCCGATGGTTTCTGATTGGCACCGATGTCTAGATTTACAAACCTCGTTAACTACCAGTGATCAAGTTGCATAAACATCTCAATCCTAAAGAAGATCAGTTTGCGACTAGAATAGCCTATTGACAATATCTAAGGTTATCTCATTGGATAATACGAGTTTGAATCCCATGGAATGCAACAGTTTCCTCGAAGATGCAGAAACGCCCCTCTGACAAGCGCCAAGTAATATGACTGAATAAGTACCGGAATGACTAAGGCATCTTAATTGAGATCCTAATCATGAGGTCGATAGACAAAATCTCAATCGACCGGATTTCAGGAAATAGAAATCGCTGAAAATATTAGACGCTAAAAATTCTCGCTGTTTTACAAAATAATTTACCGAAACTATTATTTTTTCATCACTAAACGTGTGATGATTAGATTTGTTCGAGTATGTTCAAGATGAGTTGATCTATGAACTAGGGAATCTTCCCATGTTGAGGTGGGTAAGATATGTGTTACACATGCCCAGCAACAGCTTATTTTGACAGACAATCTCGGATGATATAGGAGTGCGTTTGAAGAGAACTAGGGGCAACCAAATCAAATTATCTTGTACTTTTCTATTCCACAAATCCATATATTTTAGAATCATATTATTTATACCTAGTGTTTTCTAGTTCCACTATTACTGTTACTACTTCTACACTTGAATTATTTATCTTGTTGTACTGAAGTGATGTAATAACTTGAACTAGTGCACATACATGCCAAGTCCTACGTTGCTTAGGTCTAAAATGACTAACTGACTGATTTATATGATCGATAATGGAATAAGATGGTGGTCAAGAAGTAGTTCATATTCACATCTTCCTATTTATAATGTCGAAAATGAATTTACATAATTTAGAGAAATAGGACTGACCAACTCAGAGTTAACAAATCTAACGAAATTCATATTTAAATTAAAGATATGTCATATATATATATATATATTACTCTGATTGCTTGTAGTCGTTTCTCTGAATCTGGTTGAATATTTTGTACAGCAGCATATAACCGACTTCGCTCAATACTTCCTCGATCAGCAGCCGCTCGATTGACAAAACCACCAAGATGAGTAAAACGTCTGGGGGAATTCGAGCGTTGTCGATTTTGTATATTTACAATTGCAAGCCTTTAAAATATGGATATTAAAAAAATTTAAAATGTATGTATGATATGAGTTTATTATTATTGTTATATGACAGCTAAAAGATAAATTCATGCTACTTAGAATTTTCTCATGTTTTGGAAATATTATTTGTTTCTATTCTAGGCTGATTGATGTAAAATCAGTGGTCTACAGGTTAAGCGCGTTCACGCGAGACCCAGGGTCCTGAGTTTGAGTTCAGCGTGCAGGATTGTGGGTGCCTACTACAAACATTCATCTTGTTTGGGACTCAACAGCTGGATGTGTTTATAACCCTTCCTAATAACCTTAAATCAAATGAGATAAATGGTAACTATCTGAACTCAGTTACTCAAGGATCAATCCATTGGTATTTGAAGAGGAAGATATTACATTCGAGTCTCGTTGTAAACATCAATACTGTGATGTAGAGATATTCATGTGATGAGATCCAAATAGGACGAAACGTAGGTCCTTAATTCCACTATTAGTCATATACCAAATAAACTAATACATATCGTTTGGTTAGAACTACTTTCATTTGTTAAATATACTATAATCAGTGGAATTAGTGAATAGATATCACAGTATCAAAATGGTTAAATAAACACTTGAAAAAAACTACTTCCAATCTACTTATATGCAAAAAATTATTCTTCTCATTTCCAACATCATTCTGTCAATTTAATCAACCTTTATTTAAATTACATTTTGTCATGGAATGAAATGAAATGGAATATTCTATATAACACAATAAAAATTCACTTAGAACATTTTTCATGGGACTTTTATTTTGAAGAGGAAGAAAAAATAAAATAAAATTTCGACCAGATTGAATAAATTTATAAAACTTTTAATTACCATCTCTTTAGAAAAAAATAATACTAACATAGAAATGGTTCCAACTAAACACTGAAATTAGTTAGACAAATATTGATTGAGATCATGAGTCAATTGAAGCTAGACCAAAATGGAAAACCTGGAAGCACTGGACGGGCGTTTCGTCTTAGTATGAGACTCCTCAGCAGCGCGCATCAACGATCCCATCTCACGAGATTCCAACACAGGAACTATCAGTCTCGCGCACGGATGATTAACCTCTAGATCACTGAGCCGGAAGGCCGGCCGACCAACATCCAACGGTCTTAATGTTTAATTTCAAATAATCCACCAAAATCAGCGACACATCCACCATTGTCTTCATTGAGTTATTATCTCACAACAGACCCAGTTGAACTCCATTGGTCACTGCTTCTCACTAGAACTCCAGGAAATACCTCTTGAAGTCAGCTAGTCACTAGTGCGTATATATGATGATTATGATTATGAGAAGGGGTTTTGTGGAGATTTTAGTAATTTTTGTAATTGAATTCATGAGTGGATGTGGATTGCTGAGGATTCCCATACTGGTAAGAAACGACCGTCTAGTGTTTCCAGATTTTCTATGGTGGTCTAGCTTCAACTGACTCATGATCTCAACTATTGAAGTTACTACAATCACCACAAAAACCCCTTCTGATATGAATATTAATTTATTCGGAATTTTTTTTTTTGAAAAATGACGTCTTTCTGAATAAATAGATAATCTCAGCGACACAGTGATATTGATTGGTTGAAGGAGTCTTATGTACGGTAGTCTAATTTTTGTCAACTATATTCATCATACAAAAAAATGGAAACGAAAATTAATTCATAATTCGATATTGAAATTTGTGAGAGAATAGAATGGAAAATTTTTATTAATGAAGTATCAAGAATTTCCCGGTGTTTTTCCCTTTATTTAGTGAATGAGTCTTGAATGAGGGAGAGAGTATAATTTTCATTGAGGACTTCATTTCAAGTTCCAAATTTCAATTTATTTAGTCACTTTTTATCTGTCAGGTTGAGATGCTCTACAGTAGCAGTATGTTCATAGGAGATATATCTAGATAGCCTTAGATGAATAAAACGAAAGTCGAAAAATAGAAAAATCACACTCTAATATTTAGCGCTTATCCAATGAATGAAAGGAAAAATACTTGAAAACGCTTGATGTCATCGCACGTTTATTCAATAGTGAAAAAAAAATGTATGGTTAATCTAACACCAAATAGGTCTGTCCAAAATAATAGAAATTCAATCTTTTCAAGTACAAAGAGAATAAAATCTGTCAAGTAATAATAATGATAGTAACAATAATTGCGTTTTCTATTTTGTGAAAACTAGACGTATATGAAATAAAGATGTCCATTTACCGAACACTAATAATACTATGTATTTTATTACTCAAAGTTACTCTATCCGGTAATATTTGGTGGAAGTACGTTTTCATTGGTCAGTGAGTGTCGATAGACAGATCTGTTATCGTTCATCATCTGTATCATTCTGTATATACATATATATATTTCCCTTTCATACTTTATCACAATCTACTCCTTTTCTGGTCATTGTCTAGCTCTTAGCCATTGTTGAAAGGACAATTGAATACAAATGTGTCATTTGATCACACAACTCTAAAGTTATATGGAAGCATTTTTGATCATACAGATAGTTCTACAATATTTATGGAGGAGGACGTTAAAATATACATCGAAAATCAGTAGAATATAGAAAGAAAATATACAGAATTTATTCATTTCACTTTGTCGGGATGATCCAGAAAATTGCTTGCACAAGACAAGCAAGCATCAGGAAACACTAAGAAGCGTTTCATCCAATCAGCATTCACTTGAAGTCTTAGCCAAAAATACCAAGGAAGCGAAACGTCACATGCAGAGGCTCTGATTGGTAGGCTGCTACACTGCTACTATGTTTAGTAGCATTCCAGAATCTTCTAGCAACCCAAGGACATTTAAAATATTATAAAAACCCTGTATTTTCTGTATCAAAATGAACCTTGGAGTAAACTACTTCTCGCATACTTTGAGTCTTCTCTCTCGTGTTCAGGTCGCCGTATAGTTCTAGCTTGGGGGTTACCGAATAGCTTAGGAGACGAATATAGCGTTCAATCCGCAAGACTTATCACACTTAGAATTAATAAAACAAAAATACAATATTATTTATTACCGTTTTAAAGTTAATATTGTGCCTTTAATACGTTTACATTTTTCGTTGACATCCTTCAATTGATATAATTGATCATCAAGGACACTGTAAACATTAAAAAAAGTACCGTAAAGAAGCAACCAATAAATTATGAGCTAAATAAGTAAGTATAACTAGCTGTGAATAAACAGCACAATGGGTATTATGTTGTGTTATATCCCGATAAGAATAACGAATGGTAACTTTTGGGATCTATTTATGGATCAATACTATGAGTATATTTTTTATCGTGTAGTTGTTATGTAACTAAATTGTTGATATTCATGTCCCTCTTATCATAAGCTTTATTTTGACCTATGGACTATTACTATATGATTTACCACTCTTGAATTATGCCCTGTCTATTTATTACTACCTCTCACATTCACAGCCACATTTGGCTAAAAATTGTACAAATGTCATTTTCCATTTTATGGTACGATGTGGCCTGTTTGGTTCGTATATATACCCACTATACTTGAAATAAATGATTCATATTGCAGAGGTTCGGATTGGTGTTCTTGACTTAAGGGCTCTAGACTGCTCGCACGGGTTTTATGCGTCACTGGTTCGGTCGATAGTTCGCTACTCTCTGATTGGCGGTGTCGTTGTGTTATACAATAAACAGGGCACACAGGTTCACAAGTTATAACACGTCTATATCTAAAGATTTTAACAATTGAATAACTAAAAATGTCTACATTTATGGGGTTGTGATTCCTCATTATTATTATTATCCAAGACTAAGATTGGTCAATCGCTATTACCATACGTTTATCCTAAGTGGACTGCCTCGATAGAGAGTAATGTCATAAGTTTTAGTAAATTTCGTCTATCCCTAGTAAGGGAATCTAGAACTCGTATATCGTCCCATTGGTAACTTGTAAGATAAATGTACCTGCATCCTAGTGTTCAGAATTTAGTCGAGTATCTTTCGTTTCAAACACCAATAACTTGTTCACTATAAGCTATTCAGTTCAAATAGCCACTAACTTGTTTAGTGGATAGAAGGTATTATTGAGTGTTTATGATTTCCCGTTGTTCATGTTCAGAACTGAAATCGACTCGTCTCTTTGGCTATGTGTCTACTATTATGCATTCGGATAATTTTTAATGAAATCGAACTTTATTTACCTTTTGCAAGAGAGAGAGAGAGTAATATAGTTTAATTTCTAGTACTGATAAGTCATTTCGCTATACATTCCCCCGGGTACAAAGAAATATCTTAAGATGTTATTTAGTAGTGGATAATAATGAATTCCAAAAAGAATAGTAAGTCATCTTGTTCATAACTAGTGTTTTGAATACTTTAAGTTAGGGTAACTTGATGTGCACTCTTGAATATCTTAGGAAGAATTTCCATCAAAACCTGTCATAATTGGAGAAACACTGGAAATCAAAGAACACAAAAAAGCTCCTTCGTTATATATATAACTTGGACAAATATATCTGACCTAACAGCAATCATTTTATTTGTAATTAACTTTGAAAGGAATTTTCAAGTCGTTGTCTGAACAGTATATCAAGATAAAAGCAAGACGGTAATTCCTTGATGAGATCCGATAAAAGCGCTATGTCATAGAATCAATCAGCTAATTCCGACTCAGTGACTCGATTGTAATGAGTTTACAGCACGATCTAAATCTATTTGAAGATTTGAATTATAGTTTATTTTATTTATATATTGAACAAAAGATGAGTATTATTTTTATTAAGAAGTTAATGAGTAGGTACAATTTCTGGTATTTCTTAAATAAACAGACAGAATAAATGAGAACGAATGCCCTCGATAATGAAGCCAAGTGACGTAGTTTGAACTTTAATGGGTTTGATAGATTCTCTCAAGATCGTAAAACTTGTGGACAAGTGCAAATTAGAACAAAACGTATGTCAGGTGAGATTTCTTGCTGACTACCTCCAACCACCTAACATCTCAGCATAGTGCACGCCATTTGGAATCGTTCAGACTAATAACCACATTGTAATTTGATCGAAAGGATTCTATCAGTACAAAAGAACTAAGAAAATATATATTGGTCACTACTCGACTAATCAATCATAAATGAATAATGGTATTTACCTTTTTTGAATTTCAATAGCTTTTACTTCCATTTCTTCACGACTATTCAATATTTGTTGAATTCCTGGGTAATGACCTATTATTCCATAGATAAAATGTACACAATACAATTTTTATTGACAACAGCATCATTAAGAAAAAATACAAAGTAATTTAATCATAAGGTCAAATTTTTATTGCCTTTCGATTAACACTTAATTAATTATCAGTATAGGGGTTGTGGGGATCATTAGGTTTTTGATTGAAACCATGAACCGATTGATATTAGACCACCAATGAAAACCTGGAAACACTGGACGAATGTTTTGTTTTATTGTTGAACTCTGTCAGCAGTGCGCATTCACTATCCCGGTTGCGGGATTCAAATCAAGGGCCGGTAGAGACGGTTTCTACCTCAGTACAATGGAAGATGGTAGAGCAATTTCGCGGATTGGTTGAGGTTAGACATTAAGACCGTTGAATGCCGACTCAGTGGTCTAGAGGTTAAACGTTTGCGTGTGAGACTGAAGGCCCTGGGTTCGTGGATGCGCACTGCTGAAGAGTACTACGATAGGACGAACCGGTCGTCCAGTGGTTCCAGGTTTTCAATGGTGGTCTCACATCAATCGGTTCATAATCTCAATCATAATTAATTAACCATAAATGTATATAAATATTTATGTAGAAAAGTAAAGATTCGGTAAATTGACGTTCTACTTTTATTATTAATATGATTCTTTGGAAGTATCTAGGCGAAGACAGAATGTAAGTTTAAGATAAATATGTAATGCATGACATATATTTATAAGGAAAAAAATATCCTGGTAGAATCTGAATTTTCTCGTTCACATTTAATAATACACTACAGCTACAAACTAATGTTTTAAAATTTTATAGTTCAATTTATGAGTGAATTGAAAACAGACCACCATAGAAAATCTGGAAACACTAGACGGTCGTTTCTTACCAGTATGGGAATCCTCAGCAATCCACATCCACTCATGAATTCAATTACAAAAATTACTAAAATCTCCACAAAACCCCTTCTCATAATCATAATCATCATATAACCACTGGTGACTAGCTGGTTTCAAGAGGTATTTCCTGGAGTTCTAGTGAGAAGCAGTGACCAATGGAGTTCAACTGGGTCTGTTGTGAGATAATAACTCAGTGAAGACAATGGTGGATGTGTCGCTGATTTTGGTGGATTATTTGAAGTTAGACATTAAAACCGTTGGATGTTGGTCGGCCGGCCTTCCGGCTCAGTGATCTAGAGGTTAATCATCCGTGCGCGAGACTGATAGTTCCTGTGTTGGAATCTCGTGAGATGGGATCGTTGATGCGCGCTGCTGAGGAGTCTCATACTAAGACGAAACGCCCGTCCAGTGCTTCCAGGTTTTCCATTTTGGTCTAGCTTCAGTTGACTCATGATCTCAACTATAAAAATGACTAAAATCTCCACAAAACCCCTACTGATAATATTTAACAAATAATTTTAAAAATATATAACTGATGTGTGTTTATTTGTGATCTATCATTCACATTTATTGTAATTCGTTTTAATTAAAAGACCCTATAGTTATATGGTTTGATACTGTTAACCCATAATCCGATCTTTGCAGACAGTTTATAATAGAATTGAAATGGTGAGGATACGCACAGATATATTGATATACGGGTAAGATATTAATATCATCTATTTCAAAAGCATCAAATACAATCATTATCCAATTATTATTTTTTATAATTAGAGTAACAATGGAGCTTTTTCAAGGATGATAATCGTTTTTATTGTTGCATTATAAATAAGTTCGATCACTCCAAGTGGAAGATTCACACTACCTATCAGGTCAGACATGGAAAATTACTTAGTGCATTATTTAGCCGTATGTGGGATTATTTAGGAAAATAACAGAACCTTGATGCCCTCCCAAAGCCAGGTTACTTAAACAGTTGATAAAAAATATTGAATAATAGTACAACCGGTCTCCAACTCCTCTCTTCAGTTGCCTAAAATTTTTAAACTTCATGAATGTGAAACTGCAAAAAGACGTTTCACCACTAGAGAGATTGGAAAGGCAATAAGTAACGTCAAATGAAAGAAACCACCATAACTTGACGGGTTAACTACGTAGTAATCTTAATTTATTATAGATACTGACTGAGATATTAAATACAACCTGAGTCAAGAAATAATCCTTTACGATTGATCTCTATCTCTTAACGTCCCAGTCTATAGAACGGTACATAAACTCTGTTGAAATAACCAAAAAATAATCAGTTTATCTAACATATTGTCTTAAAGTCGAGCTTCCATAATCATCCAATAATTAATTTAATGATACAATTGATCTAGATAAATTTCTTATAAAACGTTAATGAACACTAGTTACAGAATATAACTAAAGTTGATTAAAAGTATAGATTGATTTCATTAAATAAGAATCTTGGAGTTACAAATCAGATATTGTCTTGTGGTATTCCTATGGATTATTGAAACATGAAGCAATCAGTAAGAGACGCATACACAATCGCTATAGATTTACGTTGTTCATTCCAATCCATTCGTTAATATCGTATCAGCCAATTACATCAAATATAACGCATACAAATTAACTATCAAATGCATAATCTCAGAATTGTAATCGCTGTAAGTTCAAAGGGTTCATTTTAGGACCAATTAGGGCATAACTATAAGTATGATACGATATTCTTGTATCTGTTAACATGTATAATCAATATCAATCTATGATGATAAGCTAATTTTTAAGTTTTGATCTTGCCTTACTGAACATCAAAATTGATAAAAGTCATCACTTAGTAACTTGAAAACAGAATGTTCAGATTACAAATAACAATCGAAGAATCACTTCCAGACATAATCAGTGAATAACACAACCATATATATATATATTACAATAATAATTCAACTACTTACCACATGCCAAACTAACAGTTGAATTAATTGAATCCAATCTATTCTCTAATGTTTGTACATATGGTAAATTAATACGACAACGATGTTGTAATACATCATTACCAGTTTGTTCAATGACACATTCAAGATCATGTAATTGTTCACTTAAAATAGTATTAATTTTATACATTTCTTGTAATGATCTATCTAAATTTCTTCGTTCATTTTGAATAATTTCTAATTGTGGATCAAGAGTAGTATGATAGACTGATGTTTGTTGATTGGATAACTTCTGTGTATAAAAGAAATTGAGAAGTGAATAAATTTTAGAGAAAAAAAACCATTCCTCATTTAAATAAAAACAGATGAAAAAGTATAGAGCAGAATGTCTTCTTTTTCAGAAATTCTTGCCGCCAAATGCCCTAGTACGGTCGAGAGTGAAAAGAGTCAGCTCTCTTTATCGAAATACTCTCATATGGCCACGTGCATACAACCATTGTCAGGGAAGTTCTACTCACTGCCTTCTCATGGCATTACTGTTGTTTACGAAATTGAGAGGACGAAAAGCGACTGTCCGGTGGGGGCTTGGACCGGGTTGTTGGATACGGAGGACCCACCTAGGGGAGTCGGAAAGCCCTGGTTCCAAACCAATGGCCCACATGGACTCCAGGATCCTGAAGGAACAAATGGCGTATGAACCTATTTCTAGTCACCGGCTACCACGGATCTGTCTCTCAGGACGTTGCTCCACTGCCTTATGGACTAGACCCGTAGGTCAAAGGCTCCAGGTGTGGCCTCCTATGAAAACCACCTGCTTCGGTTTAGTCACCCGGGAAGTATCCCAGCCCTCACATAAATCGAATGGTTTATGTGGCGCATATCTGTCTCGTGCCTCCTTTTACTACTGTTTATGTGTTTAAATAAATAAATAATAAACAATGAAATGAATGAATATCAGCCCTTGTTCACTAACCTACTATTCGCGTAATATATTATCATGAGGTAAGAGTTATTTATGGTTTTATGGATTCTTAGAAATTATAACAAATGTCTGGTCATTAAACTAAACATCTTCATGGATAATCAGAAGTGTAGTGCTCAAGTGTTCGGCACGTGGCAGAAAAAAGTAATTTCTGAAGCTTAAGATAACAAACGGAATATTGTTGTGGTCATAATAAAGAAATTCATTTCAGAGAGTTATTTGATTATTCACGTTAGCGCTAAGGACTGTGATTGATCAGTTTCTTGAGATATTTATATCTTGTGTACATTGCTTAGATTGTTGTAACGTGAGATGCTGAGGATTGGAGTTTAGCGAATTATCGATCGACCTCAAGACGCGTAAGACACGCAAGAACGACCTAGAGCCTGATTGGTCCCTCTTCCCTGTCTAGCCCAGCCAGTTGAGTCCGGAACGCAAGTCTCAGCCTCTGAGATATGAATCATTATATATCAAGCCTACTCCGTTTATATACCAATCCACCAGACCTCATCGTACCATAAAATAGAAAACAACATTTGTACAATATTTGACAAGTGAAATAAACATTAACCAATAGGAAATGTCCATTTAAAGTCCAAGGACACCATTAGACTTAACAGGATAATTATTGGTATATTTTTCTGAATATCCCAACAAGATATAGTCGTTAATTCACAAGCATATCAATCAACGTTGGATAGTGGTTACCAGTGACATTTATGGAGAGCATCTCATTCTACTTAGGACTCTTCAGCTGGATGTACCTGCACCCTGATATTGATATTTACATCGGGACTCTAACATAGTACCTTTCGTTTCAAATGCTCAACGCGTTACTGAGTCCAAATAAATAATGAAGTAGTTTTTAAGAGGTTAACTTTTTGCTTAAAATCGATTAAACTTTCAATAGTTAGATTTAACTTAAAGATAAATTTTGTAAAACACATACAGATGCATGTCCACACAAAAGCTTGCTAACGTTTTAAGCAATGAAAAGATTTAAGGATTGAAAAATTATCATAGTATTGTTTCTGTATAGTTTTCTACCTGAATATAATAAATATGTCACAGTGTTATGAACGAGAACATAGGTGGGAACAACGTATGCGATTGGCGTTATATACTACTTATGTTGACATAAGTAGCATACACCACAACTACCAAGCTTGGAAAAAAACGAAGTTGTTCAAAAGTGAAAGATGTGGCTATTCTTATGTCAATATCAAGAGTACTGTAGTTGAAACTACCAACAAACCGGTTGATGAATCTACAGATTTTGATCTACTGAAATGGTTTTGGTTAGCGTGAACTATAACTGTATATTAATTAGAAACCTGTTAATCAAATTTTATACTTTAAATATGCTGGTTGGGCACATGCTATAATTTCTTTATTTATGAAGCATTGGCATTCTGCAATTCACGTACATAATCATGTGAGTTTTTGAGTCAGATAGATATATTTTATATTGACTTCTTTATTCTGAAATCCTGACAGACGTTTGTAGATAGGCTTTGTATACGCGCCAATTAGACTTAATATATCAAGTTATTTATAGGCTCAAGCATAGCAACTCAAAGACCATTTCAGTGACTTATTTAATAAATATCTAATAATTAAATAGTTTACATCAAAGAAGTTCATTATTCACAATTATGATCAAAGAAACTGTTATTATCATTATGAAAACCTTATACAAAAAATCAACCATATTTATTCGCTTTACAACAATCAATTAATCAATCAACCAATCAGTCAATAAATCAATAAATCAATCATTATTAATAATCATCATAAAACTTACTGTAACAATTTTATTACAATTATTCAAATCCAGTGTAAATTTACGATTGAATTCATTGAATATTTGATAAAACAACTTTATTGATTTGCGCATTTCTTCAATTTGATAAAGTTTTGTCTTTAATAAACTTAGTTTTTTATCACCTTTTATTCATAGTTTGATGAAAACCAAACAGAGAAACAGAAGAAAGAGAAAAAAAACAAAGAGGAGTAACCAAAAGAATATATTATTGATCAATGTATAATGAATAGATTCATACACACGTATATCAGTTCGAGTTGTCATACCACATTAGCACACCGATACAATTGTCGATTCGAATCCCATTGTGGTAGAGTTAGTAAACCTTTGAGCGGTAATCAGAAAGATTAGGGTTTGAAGATGTTATTCAAGGAGCATAATCCAGTGAAATAAATTTGGAGAGAAAAAAGGATATGAAGAGTTCAAAAGATTAGAATTTGAGTGAATGCACCTGAGTCATTGCAAACGATTTTGAGTCATGTCATTCAAGGCCTCTAACCATCAGTTGCTATAGTCTCGCTGATCCCAACCAGGTAGTCTACATCTACCAACATGGTTCAGTCCACTTGTCAGTGACTTCATGGTTTTGTGCCATGTTTTAGTCTGGCTGCCCCTAGCTTTCTTCCAACCTACTCTCACACCATAAAACATCGCACATCGGGGAAGTTGGTGGTTGGGTATACTTAACACATGTCCCAGCCATCTAGAATGATGAAGTCTGACTACTTCATTAATTGATATATATGTCAGTCAGCTACAACGCAGGACCAGGCACACATATGCATCGATCAAAGTTGATACATCTCATTACCACGAACAGGTTGTTAGAGCTAACCTAGTCAATAACTTGCATTTCTAACATGTATTTAGTTTGGAAAGTTGTACAGTTTTTTAGATTTTTTTAAAACGCATTTTCCTTTCTTTCTTGTCCTTCTTTTTGTTTTTTGTTGTAAAAGAAACTTGTTGAAATAGCTTGTGCTGAGAATTCTATATTGTACCAAGAATAGAATACTGAATAAAGTTAATAATAATAACAATAATAATAATAATAAACACCAGATTCATAGTAGTTAATTCAATGGTGGTAATATATAAAAGAAAGTTTACATATAAGGATATAGTACAGGAAGAAAGAATTAGTTTGTAGAAAGAAAGATATGAAGCGATTTTAATCTCTTAGTTTAGGGGAAGACATGGGGTGTATACACCTACGCCATTGTGATCGATTCTGAGCCTTGTCACCCAGAGTCTCAAACCATTGGTTATGATAGTCACGCGGAACCCAACCAAGTAGTCTGCATCTACCAACATGGCTCAGACTAGAACTTAGTGACTTCAAGCACTGATGCCTCTAAGAGCTTTCAAGATCACTACATATATATGCACATGAACAGACTTATCTATTTTTGAAAGATATTCAAATTAGCAATTACAATGAATAAAAAATATGACTAAAAAGGATTTCGAAAACAATATGCTAGTCAGTGCCTAATTAATTTCAGCGATAAATAGAGAAATAGAAAAAGAGATGAAGTATAAACGATGTATTAAATTAAGTCATTTAAAAAACTGAAACGCAAAAGTATCAAGAATGTGAGAGAGAGAAAAAAGAAAGAAGAAATGAGTCCGAATAATATTGAAGAGATCTAGTTCATACAAATGAATACACGGCAATGAATTTTTAGGAAGTAAGTAACAAGATAACAAGAATATGAAACTAAGTTACTGTGATAAATATATTGATCTATGCATATTAAAATGTACTGAAGATATTAGAAGCTGAGTCTGAATAGCAATATATGAGTAGATTTAATGTAATTTATAGATATCAAACATGATTGTAGCTGCCACCTTGACGTTGTGATGATTTAATCAACTAGGACTGGCTAAAAAAACCAGTTCCTACAGGTTCTCTACATGTCAAGCAGGTTAGTTTGAAGGCATTAAGCTTAAAAGCAGTAAACTCACAATCTGAAGTCAATGTCGTACAGAGTTATCCTTAGATAACCCTTATTTGCGGCGATGCTGCCCTTTTGCAAAGAAAGTACATGCGTAAAAATCAAAAATGCTTGACCCGACCCCACGGATTCCGATTGTTTACTATAAAACCTTAAAAGTTCCGAGATAACCCATCGAGAACTATTCACAGGCAGATCGTGTGTGACCAGCCTCAAGTAGTTGTCCCTTGTGCTATGTGGTCAAACATCAATAGTCATCGAGACCGTCCACAACCTAATTTCTTTTTAAGATACCTTGAAAAGAATGAACCATTCATGGTGTAAACAGCTAAAAAGTGACAATCTCCCCCATACTATTAACGGTGCTTAGGATCGCATTGTTCACATGGATCCTAAACAACCAAATACATTCATAGAACATTACAGATACTCTATATTGAAGGCAGGATAAAGACAATTTTCTCAAAATAACTGCTAAATCTTTTGAGTAAAAACCTTAGCAAGGATAAACACTTTCAAGTAAACACTGTTTACATAAATTTTAACAAAAAAGTCAATTTACACGATTAAGTCAATCGAAGGAAAAAAATAATCAACTAAGTTTTACGGGCTTATTAACCGTAATACAGGTTATAAGCAAAGATGAATGGTTCTTAGTGGTGGAATCCAGTAGGCACGTTTCATTCTATTTGGGACTCGTCAGCTGAATATACCCGTATTCCACAGTTGTTGTCGACTATGGGACTCGGACCCAGTACCGTTCGCTTCAAACATCATCAAGTTATCCACTTAGCTACTGAATCATAATAGCCACCTGCTAGCCATTATCTTTGCTTATAATGCTTATGAATAAGGCAATAACGAGGCAATCCGTACAGGATGCTCATGTATCAATAAGAGAATGACCAATTGCAGATCTAAACAACAATGGGAAGATAAAAGCAAACAATATCAAGTGAATTTAAACTTCACTTTGTGGTCAAAACTATCTCTTTGATGAATAAATGATTTCTATAAATTGGCTTTCACAGTAGTTATTTATCTGAAATCGGCTGATTCTTTTTTTTACCTTGAGATTATGAACCGATTGGTGTGAGACCACCATTGAAAACCTGGAACCACTGGACGACCGGTTCGTCCTATCGTAGTACTCTTCGGCAGTGCGCATCCACGAACCCAGGGCCTTCAGTCTCATACGCAAACGTTTAACCTCTAGACCACTGAGTCGGCATTCAACGGTCTTAATGTCTAACCTCAACCAATCCGCGAAATTGCTTTATCATCTTTTATTGTACTGAAGTAGATACCTGTCTCTATCGACCCTGGATTCGATTCCCGCAATCGGGATAGTGAATGCGCACTGCTGACAGAGTTCAACAATAAAACGAAACATTCGTCCAGTGTTTCCAGGTTTTCATTGGTGGTCTAATATCAATCGGTTCATGGTTTCAATCAAAAACCAAATGATCTCCAAAACCCTATATTGATCTTTCTTTCTTTATCATTTTATTACATTACTTATGAAAATATGTTACACTTTACTAGATCAGTTTTTGACTGATTTTGTTTGTTTTGTCCTTTTTTAGAATAACGAACATATACTATTTTGCATTAAACCATAGAACAATTTGTGACAATGTCGAAAATGAAATATATTTTTATTGTGATACACAATATGTTCTATTATGGTGACTGACTTAGTTTTAAATAGGGAATAGAATCATGAAATACTAATATATTTAATTTTTTTTCTGTATAAATATAAACAAAGCAAAAAATGAACAGAAATTTTGAAAACTGTCATATTTTGTATTTCATTATTATTATTATTATTATTATTATTATTATTATTTCAGATTGAAATTATGAGTCAGTTGAAGGTAGACCACCATGGGAAACCTGAAAGCACTGGATGGCCGTTTTGTCCTAGTATGGGATTCCTCAGCAGTGCGCATCCACGATCCCACACCACGCGAGATTCGAATCCAAGACCTATCAGTCTCGTGCCAGACGCTTAACCAACTAGACCACTAAGCCGGCCAGCATCCAATGCTGTTAATGTCTATCTTTAGCCAACTCACGAAAATGAGCAACCGTACACCCCTGTCTTCAATGAGTTCATATCTCACAACAGACCACCATGGAAAACTTCAATTGACTCATGATGATTTCAACTAGTGAAATTTCTAAAATCTCCACAAAACCCATTCTGATAATAATCATCTGCTCACTAATGACTGACTTCAAGAGGCATTTCCTGGAGTTCTAGTGAGAAGCCATTACCAGTGTAGTTTAACCAGATCTGTTGTGAGATAATGTTTCAAATTTTATACTGTAATCGTTATAAATTTATCGCAGTTGGAGTTCGATTTTCAGAAGGGTCGTAGATGATTGCTATAGAATAGGCTAACACTAGAACGAAACATTATTTTTCATTTTATTTGAACACATAAATATATTGATACAAAGGGGCACCGAATACATATGCGCCACACAAGTCACTTGAATTGTGTGTAGGCTATGATACTGTCCGGGTTCCCAAACTGAAGTGGGTGGTTTTCTTAGGGGGCCACAACCCGAGTCTTCGACCTAAAGGTCTAATCCACAAGGAAGTGGAGCAACGTCAGGAGATGCAGTCCCATGGTAGCCGATGACCAACGATTGGTTCATACGTCATTTGTTTCTCTAGGATACTGCAGCCCATATGCACCATTGGTTTGAAATGAGGGTTTTCCAACTCCTTTTAGGCAGACCCTCTGTATTCACCAACCCGGTTAAAGCGCCGGTTATTCGTGTTCCGTCCTCTCAATTTCGTAAACAACACCCCCACCACGAGAAGGCAGTGAGTGGGACTTCCCTATGAGCATTTCCAGAGAGCGGACTCTCCCCATCCTCGGCTCTACCAAAGCATTTGGGGGCCTGGGTGAAAGAGGTGTCAAGTTTACAAGGCTTTTCATAGTGTGGCCCACTAAGAAAACCACCTGCTTCGGTTTTGGAACCCGGACAGTATCATAACACACACACAAATCAAGTGACTTGTGTGGCGCATATGTATTCGATGCCCCTTTGTACCAATATTTATGTGTTCAAATGAATAATAAATATTATGTCATTGAATGAAGTGTAGCTATGTAAGTACGTTTTAGATAGCCTATCATGATTCCAGAATATTATTCTATATTTCTGTGGATTCTTTTAAATACCTTACTAATCATTAAATAAAACACATATGTGAAAACGAATTGCTGTGTTCTGTGGTCCAACTAGGTTACGACACACCCTTCCAGCAGTATACCAAACGCGTTATCCAAAATGAGAAAACTGAAGTAACCACGATGGACAAGTAGACTGAGACTCTGAGTAAGTGCCTGATCAACGTCCTCTAATAGAATGTCATGTTTATAGTTTCTCACTTACCATTTGATCTTGAGATAGCATGTGAGCACAGGCAATCGATATTCATCTGCATATTAACAGTCCATCAACATAAGTGCATATATGTACAATCATACTAGACAAATATGAGACTTCAAAAAAGAATGTTCGACAATTTGCCTGACAATTTTCCTATTATTAAAAAAACATAAGCAACTCGAAGTCACAACCTCTTTTCCAAAGATTAAATGGTTAATAATGAAGTAAGAAAACATCTTAAATAACTTACTTAGATTTATTGAATTCGGAGATAATTTTGAATTAGTTACTGGTAAATCAATACGTTCAAATGCTTCTCTAAAAGCATCCGCTTGTACACCAGAACTTTTTAATGCTTGAAATAAAGTAACTAGATAATTCACATGAGCTTCTTTCTCAGTTAATTCATCTGACAAATGATGATTAATTGTGCTATTATGATCAACAGTTTGTGATTGTATAGTTTTTCTCAATGTATCTGTTGTTGTATTTGGTGTACCAGATGTACAATTAGTCAGATGACAATGTTGAAGATTCTTTTTTTGATTGTTTAATTCATCTTCAGAGAATTTGTCCGTACAACTTCTAAAATATGTAATTAGATAAATGGAAATGAAATGAATAGACTATAATCGTGTACATTTGTACACAAATAAGCCTACTACATTTGAGTTTTCAGCAACTATTGATACAACTATTAGTTAAAATATGATATATTTTAAGAAATTAATCATATTTAGACATTAACCCTGAAAAAACTTTGTTTTAAATGACAGTGCTAAGCGTCTACGAAAAATACAACAGTATAGTGAAAGGAACATGGAGCCAAGAATCAAATCAATAAATGGCATTCGAAGATAGTTCAACATTATTAGGAAGATAAAAAAAATAAACCATTGACTGTGTAATCAGTAATCGGAAGGTTAAGTGCTTTCTAAGGTATATAAAGGTCCTGGGTTCAATAAACGTCCGGAACGTGGATGTATACTACTACTGCTACTACACTAATTCCTGTCTTCCAATAGTTATCTACCCAAGATCAGTTCGAGATGTAAACTATGAAACACGCCGATAATGTTCTCACCCACTGTAATATCCATGAACACTAATTACTGATCTCTGGTATCTTAAGAATTAAATTTATGTAGCATACAGATGGACTTTGTGAATTAATTACATCTCTTAGCTTGAAAACCATTATTTTTTTCTTAGTATAAAACTATCCCAATTTAATTAGTATTTGTAGATAAGGTGCTTAATAATGTATAACATGTATATTGACCACCAGTTAGAAACTGTTTGATTGATCGAAGCTTATTGGTTGACACTTTGAACCTGAACTCAGTAATAAAACTCACAGTCAAATTTAGAAATATATACATATGGGAAACAGAGGGAAAAAACCAGCTTTAAACTTAATGATTGATATGTTCAATCGCTGCTGCTATGAAACTGAATATTGTACGTATCATTAACTTAAACATATTTGTCAACAAATACATAGTAGATTATTTTCATCCGATTAGTATAAAGTTGTAATCTTGAGGGAACTGATACTCCCTGACGGATTCAATCCTGTGTCACTTAGCACGCAATGTCGAGTCACTTAAACTGATGGCCACATCGCAACTTGGTTGACAGGATTCGATCTGCACTAAGAAGGACCTGATATACATGACATGGATCACTACCCAGTGATCAATCAATTATATTGAGCGGCCTGCTTGAGCATCTGGGCTACCTGTTCCTGTCATCTAAATATTTCAACAAGTTATCTATTTTTGTTTGTTTTAATATATCATGTTGTATATTAATCGCATAACCCATCCTTGTGCATTTCTGAAAAGTTTACAACCTTTCGTTGTCAAAGTTACTAAAAGCTCAATAAGAGATAATGTGGTCGCTGGCAATATGCAGAGAAAAGAATATACATTATTCAGATGTTTATTTACTGGACTGCTAACATCTAACTGGCTATCACTCAATATTTATCGTCAGGATCGACCCAGAAGAAAGAAACGGAAACATGTTGAAATACTTTGTGCTGAGAATTCTATATTGTACCGAAAATATAATATTGAATAAAGCTTATAATAATAATAATAATAATAATAATAATAATAATAATAATAATAATAATAATAATAATAATAATAATAATAATAATAATAATAATAATATAAACAATTGATTTATGTTTGCAATTTCACCCAACATTAGAATATTGGATTATTAGATCAGTAAGACTAAACACTAGACTAACGGATTATGTCTGCTCTTAGCTGCTCATAGGCATCAAAAAACAGTATTAGTAAATGGATAATTTATGGCAAAGAAAACAATAATATCACAAACTATCAACGAATTTAAAATATTTATAATTAATTAAAGTTTTCTACAGATCACTATACCTGTAAATTGAAAAAAAGGACAAAACATAAATTTGTCCTTATGGATATCTATTATCCGTCTTCTAAGAACTTTTAAAGGATCGAAGAGGATACTTAGGAGTCCCTACATTATTCTTAGTTAAGTTGACCTATTTAGGATATGAATTAGGAGTTCAGGTTTAGTATTTTCATCATTGGCATTAGTGATAATGCAGAAATGCTCTGTAGTCATGTGAATGAATAAATTTAGTGGATAAACCCAAGAGAAGCAAAAAGATTAGTTCGTTCATAAAATATAATATTGACAATTTAATGCTTATTTCAGGATTAAGAGTTTAAGATTAAGATTTACAGATAATATCGATTAGCCCACAGACAGAGAATTCAGAATCCAATACATTTAACGCAATCAATTTGACTGTATACTGGCAAACAGTAAACATTTGCCAACATTTTAAACGCTTTAGGAAGTATATTTTCACTAACCTCTATGTTTGATATGTGAATTTCGCACAAAAAAAACAACTAAAAACCGCATTCACCTTTACCATAAGATTAACATAAAATTTAATCTTTTATTTTAAATAGCTAGGCTACTTTATATAGTAGTATATAATGGGATTTTCTGTCTTCCCTCATCAACCAATCACATTTTAGGATGATGGAGATATTCATTATGGAACAGAAGAAGTATTATAACTCTGACTTTAAACCATGTAGATTCGATTTCTTTCTGGACAAACGAATATCCTCTATACATTTTAGTACATCTTCATAATTTAATTATTTTGTTGAATATTGACTTAATTTATTCAAAAAATTTAACGTTTTTTTTATATTTTTAAGTTGATCAGACCTTTTCCTAATTGGATTTTACATTGTTACATAATATCTCCCCCCCCGATTACAAGATAATCAATGATCATATTGTAAAACCTACAGCATTTTTATTCTCATGAAATAAATCAATAACTCAGTATGTTATCTCAAATATTGAATACACCTTTCTTTTTTCTTCATTTTTTGATTCATTTTTTTATATGTGTGTTGTAACCGGGTATGTACAGAGATAGGAATGGAGTTGGTACAAAAAAAGATACTATTTTTCTTAATACGTAAAAAGTTTATTGTAGATAAAATAAATTATCATTAGAAGTTATTACATAAGCTGACATAAACTCACACACACACACATACATACAAGTGTATGTAAACACATATATAAACATAGATGTAATGTTGTTTAACCATTGATTGTCTATAAAGGCGTAGTAACAATATTATACTGATGTTCTTTACATGATTTAGTGTGAAATATATATACGTGTAAACAAAGGGGGTTTTAATAATTCCGATGGGAAAATGCAGAGAATCATTTTTTTTGCAAACAAAAAAAACCACAATCATAAAAGTCATACAGAAAAGTGACAGTTTTATACTACTATTGATGTGTGAATGTGTAAACACACACACACACACACTGATTTATTGACATTCAGTCTTAATAAATAATTATCACATATACTTTCGGTGAATACAAATAATGAGTGTAAAATGTTTTATGATGATTGAGTTAACCATGGTTGACAAACTAATAAATAACATTGCTTAGATTGATATCATGAATGGATCAATGTTAGATCATTACCACAACTACCACCACCACCACCACCACCACTGAAAACCTAGAAGCACTGGACGGTAGTTTCATTCCAATATGGTATTCCACAGAGGCCTTCCAGTGCTTCAAGATTTTCAATGATAGTCTAACATTGATTCATTCATGATACCAATCTATGCTCAACAATCTCCATAACACCTTACTAATAAAAAAGATAACAAAACGAGAAGAGGATAATGGGTTTATATTATATACATATGTACACATTATTGTTATAATAATCCAAGTATGTAAGATATGATTTATTTTCAACTGTCTAGAGCTCCATTGAAACAAAATAGGAAATTTAAAAAAGAACTCAATTCTTGTCAGTGTTGATTATTAAGGTTGAAAAAAAGGTAAAATGGTAATACAAATAGAAAAATAGTCGAGTTATGGTAAAAATACAAAAAAAATTTGAAAAAAAAAACAAAAATAAAAACAGTACCATAGAAACAAAATAAAAACAAGTTTTCATATCCAATTTATTCTCTGCAAAATAATTGTTAATGTTATGATATGTCTATTGTAAAAACTAAGTATACTCATATGATAAACATTAGTCAGAAGAAGTAATATATTGTTGAATGAAGAAGTAGATGGGTAGAAATGGTCGATGAACTAAATGACTATAAAATGACATATTATACTTCCTTCACGTACGGACACAAGCATACATACAAACATCGAATGTATAAAGTTACAATAAACTAAAACATGATCGTCAGTATGGAGTAGTGAAGATTGTTAAATTTGATTGAAATCATGAACTGATTTTAGTGAGATAACCATTGAAAGCCTGTGAGAAGTGGATAGTTGTTCTGTCTTAGTGTGAATCAACTAGGGCACGTACACGACCCACTCCCACGCGGTAATCGATCTCAAGACATTCGGTCTGGTGTGTAAACACTTAACCTCTAAGCCACTGAGTTGGCATCGGACGGTGTTGACGTCTAAATTCAATCAATTCTCAACGTTAGATCGGTTCATGATTTCAATGAAATTCAACAATATCAACAACCCCAATACTATTAATTATCATATAATCACTAGACACTAGATTCGAGATTAAATTCCCACAGTTCTATTGATAAGCCGTAACCGGTGGAGTCAAATTTAGTAAGATGTAAGACGGTTTCTTACCAAAGACAATGAAAGATGGTCATTCTGTGTTGTGGACTGATTGAAATTAGACATAAACACTTCTGAATGCCGACTCACTGGCTTAGAGTTTAAGTGTTCATGTGCTAGAGCGGATGTTTTGAGTTCGATTGCTGTGTGGATGTGTACTCCTGAGTAGTTTTATAGTAGGATAAAACTACCTTACACTGCTTGCAGGTTTTCAATGCTGGTCTAACTTAGATCGGTTCATGACTTTAGATAAAATATAATCACTGAATAGAGAGATGAATTTTACAAACTTGTTACCAATTGAAATGGATATTTGGGAGAAGTGAAACTTCCAGGACTATACCGTGTATAACGATGATACAGATTTTTGTTGTATGTTTATTAAATGCCTGTGTCATGGTACT